CTGTACCTAGTCATTATATGCATAGATATCATATGATTATATGATCATATATATCATATGATTATATGATATCTATGAGTGCAAAGACTCGCAAAGCAGGAAGTTTCGGTTTCCGGTTGTCGTGAAAAAGACGTCGCAAAAAAGTCTTCTTGTTGCAGATACAATAAATAATCCGAGCTGCCGCGCTAAAAATCATGTTAAAAATACGAGCGTTGTGTTGGACTGACCTGATTTTGCAGATTATAAAATAAAAAGGTTACAATGTCTTATGATTTTTCCGCCAAAATGCTACTTAAATCTGTGACGTTTTGACTAGTCAGAATAACAATTCAAGATATCTTGAACGTCATTCTGACTAGTCAAAATGTGAATTCAAGATATCTTGAATAGAAAAGCCGTCTACATGATAAAATATTCAAGATATCTTGAATTCATTTTGAGATATCTTAAAAGGAATTTTGACTAGTCATAAGTACAGTTTTAGATATCTGTAAGTTAGTTTTGCCTAGTCGTTATTTGCTATCAAGATATCTACAATTTAATTTGCACTAGTCAAAACTTCATTTGTGATATCTACAAATACATTTAAGATATATTGAATAATGACGTAATTTAAGATATCTTTAATTGTAATTATGACTAGTCAGAACTAAAAGTTTGATATCTTGAAAGCAAATAATGACTAGTCAAAATTAACTTAGAGATATCTAGAACTGTCTTTTTGACTAGTCAAAATTCAGTTTAAGATATCTTGAATTGAAGCCTCCATACAACTCAATGGTAAATCTGTCGTTATTATGACTAGTCAGAATGTAATTAGAGATATCTTAAATAAGTATTTTGACTAGTGTAGATGAACAGACTGCTCGGATATATTCATCATTTAACACGGATTCCTCATTTTTCTGGACTGAATAAAACGTGCATTGAATTTAAGGAAATGCAAACGTGAGACGTCATTTACGTTTGACCCATCAAAATGAATGCGGTCATTTATTTACAGAATCAAAGTTTAACATCAAACATTTACATTAATTTGGCAAATTATGAAAATAACAACATAAGCAATCAATCAAGAAAAATCATACGGCCATGATTTTTCCGTTGCTGCACCACAGACATTTATGAAACTGTACAACTATGATCTTTTACCCACATGAATGTGGGTGAGCATTTTACACAGACATTTCTAAAATATCTGGAAGAATTTCTACTTGATAGAAAAGTTTAAAGATGGAAAGAAGTTTAGAGGGAGTAAGATGGTGTGTGAGGGGAAAGAAGTGTTCACCAGAATCGACACTCTCCGGCTTTCTTCAGCTTTTCCTTACAGTACACTTAGGTGATGAAATCGGCTCCTTTACCTGGAGATGTCTCAGGTGAGATTCCGTTTAACGCACCCTTTCAGCGTCTCAGTAGGATGCTGTTACTCGTCCGAAGTAATGGCGAGGCTCTGTTTGACACATATTCACCTCAGTGGAAAATGTTATAATCCCATGGAACTCGGAAGAGCTTTGTTGTCATGTCAGTAACATCAAACAGCATCCGAGCAGAGACATGAACAGAACTGGTTGGACTGTGTATCCAGCAGAACTCCAACAGCACTCCATCAGAACTGCATCAGAACCGACCCAGAACTGTTTACAGAACTCGAGCAGAGCCTGTGTAGTTTACAGAACTCCCACAGAACTTTAGCACTGACTAGACCAGGAAGTACTGACATTTTAAAGACTCTTTCCCGGTTCACTTTTGGGATTTGTTCATTGGTCAGAAACGACCAGACGGGGTGTGTTTTGTGACGTAAGAGGTTAGAGACAGCGAGAATTGTTATGAAACAGATCAGAAATGTTCTCACAGACAGAGAGAGTTTTGCTTTGGCGCGTTTCAGAAACAGGTGCCAAAACTTCTCTATTTACGTCTGAGAGGATTCTAAAAACATGACAGTTCGTTCAACAACTTGTTTTTCGTTTGACTCCAACCTTGGAAACGCACACTTGCTCACTCAAAGGCAGAAATCAGAAAATGCATAATTATTCTGTAACAGCTTTGACATGAGAATAAAAATCATTACTCAGTTAATAAAATTGATTAGTTCACTGCAACATCTAAAATGGTTTGAACTAAGACATTTTGATTATCAACATTTGTAAAATAGTAATGATAATAAAACAGAGAGTGTTCTTTTCACTTGAATCTTCAAGAAAGAAAGTCTCAGGATGGGTGAACCTGTATTTCTGAGTTCAAATGAATGAAATGATAGTTCCTGTCCCACAAGGTTCTAAAGGTCAAGAGTTTTGACCTTAGACTTAGTTTTTGACATGGGCCTAGTCCACTACACTAGTCAAAATGCAATTCAAGATATCTTAAATAACTAATATGTCTAGTCAAAACTCAGTTTAAGATGTCTGGAATGTAAGCGTGGTGAATCCGATTTTATGTTAAAAGGGCTTGCCATACTGGACCTGGCCCAGGACCTCCACCAGAGCCAGTTTTGTTAAAGACGATAAACTCTTTGAACCACTCTTGGCCTTGGTGTTGTTGTGCAGATCCCACTGGTCTTTGTCAGTTAAGCCTGATACCCAGACATTTTCACACCGATCAGGAATTTCAGCCATGTCGCTAGAGTGGCTCCTCTGTTTCTCAGACTAACAAACCACCAAAATCCTTGCTCAATAATCCAGGTATAAAATCCAGCAATGTTAAGTCAGGTCATCTGGACAGTTTCTTTTTTTGTGTTGAAAAAAGAAACTGTCCAGATGACCTGACTGAATATTGCTGGATCCTAACAAACCTCTTTTGTGAGTAGTGATAGGGCAATCTACATGTGTATCTAGCTCATCTTTATAACTCAAACCCCACACACTGTTCTTTGAATTGAGAACGCTCCTCGGATGAGAAGCAAAATGTCGTCTGTTACAAATAAAGTCCAGTTGTTTTTGTCTTGAACTTTTTTTTAATTTACCATGTCCTGGATGACTGAAAATCATCACCAGCCTACCCAAAAGGGAAAAACAACAATGCTGAAGGTGCAGCGACTCCAAGAAACGTGGAATTAGCACTGGAGGCAAGGGCTAGCTGTACAGTAGGAGGGCTTGAGACGTTGTAACCATTATTCATAATGTTCTGCTGGTGAGACACAGGAGACTCAAATATTTAAAGGGTGAAACTAATTACAGTAATGCCAAACACCTGGTGAGGAGACAACCAGGTGAGCAGGGCAGGCACAGATTCCCACAACACAACACTCAAAAGTGTCAAAAGGGGCCTGTTTAATCTGTCAGTGTGAATCTCTTGCAGCTTTAATTCTTTATATGATGTCCCACATAATCTTTGATGTTTGTTTGACAGAAAGTGCCTCATCACCAGGAAAAGTAAAGTTTTCAGGGCCATAATAGAGGGAATCTCATCTTTCTTAAAGGGAGGGGGAAAGAGCAAAGCTGCAGAGAGATGGTGTGAAGGAGTGCAGCGCCAGATGAGAAGGCTCTGATAAATACGTAGCCAAATGGATGGAGAAAAATGGAGTAACACACCAACTTTACAATAAAGAGATGTCATCATATAATCCTAACCACTGGTCTTCTACAGATTAAACTTTGTACTTACACCTCCTGCGATGCTCCACCTGTTTAATCATTTCAGGAAAAAAACGGGGAAAAGCTAAAGAAAAAATGCAATTTGTTTCAGAGCCAATAGCCTGAAGAAGCTTGGGAAGGAGTGGTTCATATATAATGTATAATCATAATCAGAAAAATACCTCTGTAAAATTAATGTTTAACTTGTTCATCTAATCTTGTTCATTTCATCTTGTCCATCTTATCACAAGCAGAACTGGTTTGTTCCACTTTGGAGTAAGCTGTTGGAGGAAGAATCAGTTTTGTTGTGTTTCCTTGACTGATGAAGCCTTCTGGATCAAAGGGGAAACGTTTCAGCACAAAAAAAAAATGAAACTGTCCAGATGACCTGACTGAAAAATGTTGGATTTTATACCTGGATTATTGAGCATGGACTTTGTTGTTTAACTTGTTCAATTCCTTAAAATGAGCTTTCGTGGTTCAGCATTACTTTATACCAACTTTCAGTCTAAAACTGGGCATTGAGCTTGGGTGCAACTTTAACAAAAACCAAAAGTGATAGCCCTACATGTGTTGTCGTTAGTAGATAAATCTTTTCCATTAGCATGGGTGTGATTTCCTGCTAACCTTTTATATTTAAACATAAATAGCCAAAAACAAGTGAAATAATCACTGACATACATCAAACCCAGTTTAACATAAGTGCTCAGAGCTCAATCATCCCCAATGGGATTATAAGAAAAGCTCAATTTGAGTTTATAAGATTCCTAACAGGACATATTTTGTCATTTTCTGAGTGTCTGAGCCCTGTCTAGATGTGATGGTTCTGTTAGTTCAGTGATCTCCATCTGCTGAACGAGTCACGGCACATGTTAGCAGAAATAAACCTGCTTGTACAG